GATAGATAGATAGATAGATAGATAGATAGATAGATAGATAGATAGATAGAAAACTCTGCAACTGAATTTGAATGATTTTAACTTTTAATATTTCCAGTCCCACACAAATGCACATTTGATTGCCTGCTGATTTGAATCTTCATTGAGGCATAGTTCTGGATTCCTAGCAAACATCCAGTACATTATTTGTTGCTCCTAACTAGCTATTAAGCAGTGCTTTATTATAATTTTCTTAGTATGAAAACATATGCATATTTATTTTTGAGATGTTTTGTAAAATGAATCCTGTGCCATAACTCCGCACTATGTAATTTTTAGCACAGTTTCACTTCAAGAATTCTCTATAACAAAGCCTGTTATGAAGAGCTTTAATTTCTGAAGTATTTGAAATGCAAATATCCAGATATTTCACAGATGTTAAATTCCCTGACAAATTCAAAAGAACATTTAATATATAAAAATAAATTATACCTAAAATGGGAGTTATATTATAATCACCCAGGTTATTAGTATGGCAAGTTGTAAATGCAAATCTAAAAGTGAAAGTTTATGGCCTTTACATTGGGCATCACCAAAGAGAACCTCCTCCTCTCCCCTATCAAAATTAAACTATGTATGGAAAAAATATAGAGAAATTGCCAAGACAAACCCATCATTTTAAAGGTTGCCCACTTCCAAAATTATTAGAATAACATACAAGACAAAAATAGTTAAAGACAATATAATAGACAGTGAATATGACAAATGGAGAAGGCAAAACATCCAAATTTATCTGATAGTAACTTTAGAACAGATATTACACATACAGACTACACCTCACAAAATATAGTTTTATAAAAGGAAGTCAATCTTCTGATAATATCAGACTGTTGGTATCTATTTTAGAAACTCCATCTAAGACACTTGATTCAGCTTTAGATACAGATAAAGCATGATGTGATACAGATTAATTTTTTGAAATATGTTTTTTTTAAATTGAATTCCCTTCTATTTCTACAGGAGGCATTTTAATCCTGAGGTATAGTAACTGCAAATAGTACTGAGAAAATGTCAGTATTGTCTTTTATCTGCTCTTACATTTAATATGATATTGCCAGTGCAATTAAATAAATAAATATTTGTTTAAATATTTATTTTTAATTACAACATAGAGTTTAAATTACAACGTAAAATAAAGCCACAATGGCACAGTGGTTAGAATGAAGCATTGCAGGCTAATTCAACTGACTGATGACTATCAGAAGTTCAGCAGTTTTAGTCTCACCAGCTCAAGATTGACTCAGCCTTCCATCCTACTGAGGTTGGTAAAATGAGGACCCAGATTTTGGGGGGCAATATGCTGGCTCTGTAAATTGTAAACTGGCTCAGTTTACAGAGAGGGCTGTAAGACACTGTGA